CTAGATCACCCTAAAATGTTTCATTCATGGGAAGCGAAGGGGAGGAGATATGGTAACTACAATTATGGATCTAGACATGTTCAGGTGTATGTGCATCCACCGGCTATAAAAAAAAATCCACTCTACTGCAAAATAAAATAGTAGGCCTGCAATTGTCTTTGTGGGGGCATGCCCAATTTAAAGTGAAGGGGCAAAAAGAAGACCTGCTTACCTGGCCATGGTCCTCCTCTCTCAATGCCGATGATATGTAGTGAGAGTGTAGAAAGCCCAGCTGCACTTGTATTCTTGGTTTTCTTTCCTTTTTCGTCCTTTTCTTTCTTTTCTTTTTTTTTTTACTTCATTATTTCTTTTTCTCCCCTTTCCTTGCTTTTTTCTTCTCTTTTTTTGCGTTACATACGACGAATCCATATGGAGTGAGAATTAATGGTTGTGATGGTTGTGGTGGATGTGGATGTGGATGTGGAGTCTTGATATGACCCGGCATGCTTTCAAGCATGTGCCGGCAATCAGACAAGCAGTATCGATTCCTCGGTCGAGGTTACTGGCGCACAAAAACGCTACCACGTCCCGCTTGCGCAACCCGTCGGTCCTCTGAACCAGGTAGTCTGTCTGATCGCGGCTAAAGCTCCGGTACGCTATGCGTGAGAATCATCAACCCTGGCCCGCAAGAGCCTGTTTATCTCATGCGTATGCGTGTTTCTAACAGTGGCCATGTGAGTCTTCAATCTTACCATTCGTGTCTTCTGCTTTGAAACCCACAGTCTTAGTGAGGAAAAAAAATTACAAAAAGAAAAGGAGGAGGGAAAAATTAAAAAAAAAATTGGAAAAGGGAAAAAGGGAGAGTTATCGAATTCACGAGTCCGGATACGCCGATACGCGGACCTTTCGACCTGTAGTTATGAATCAACCACCACGTTTTTTGAGACGTTGGGACCGTTGCGCACGGCAGCGCCATGCTCGCTCTCTAGGGCCACTCTACCTACCACCTTGTTGTCATATTGCTTTTCTCGCTTGCTGGGTAGGCCCATGCGCCAATAGAAAAGGTAAATCTCACCTCCCCAAAAGACAAAATACTCGTCGTGGAACAGAAGAGAACTCTGGATAGCAGGTGCGATCGAGGATGAGCATTCCTGTACCCGGACTTGCGCTGCCGTGGTACGACCAATTTCCTGGGTAATTACCCCTGGTGCTATAGCATTATACTTGAATACTTTGTGGTCTGGAGAAGTCTCGTCATATACTCTTCACACATGGTGACGATACTGACTGACTGATAAAACCAGCTGAATTCCAGTTGACTTGGAATCAACGCCGTAGCTCCCCTTGTGGCGCCCATCCACCCTCTTCAGACTCAGGCTACATGGAAAACATGCCCTGAATAAGGACTTTTCTTACGGAAGTGTCCAGTCATTAGCAAATAAGAACTTAAATGGATGGAAGACAATCCTATCCTTTTATGGACACAAGGGAATATCCAGGAGAAGAAAAGAAAAAAGATTCCCTTAAGAGAAAGCCGGAGCCAGCAGAACCAGCGAGCCCTTCCCGCAAGAGTAACCAATCAACAGCCAACGGGCTTAGAATTGGTATCATATAGGTCCCTTGACTTCATTCTGGACATGCAACAAAAAAAAAAAAGTCGGCATCACGACCAACAATGGTACATACAGGGCCCACAACCAGAGGTAGGTATGCTTCTTTCGTGGACCAGTCAGGATCAAAACAAAAATATATTGGACCGACATAATTGAGCCTGATTGTCCCATCCGTCACCTAAGCCACCCGATTGATGATCAGAGGAGACGGGACGGGCAGGGCGGCAGACGAACTGGTTTACCTGTTTACGAAATGCTTCAAGTGGGTTTTAAATGCTTAACGCTACCTCTCCTATCATGAAACACCCGCTTACTCTCCACAGAGCCACTTCTCGTGCTCGACCTTTATTTCCTTTTGATAGGTTCTTTAAAATAATGGTTACAAAACATATATTGCTCTAGATGGGCCAAGAAAAGAATCAAATGATGCACGAAATATCGGTAACGGCACCCGTGCGCAGGAAATCTCTTTATTTCCCGGCACTGGCAAAGTCCAGAGTGCCTGCCCCAATTTTTTATCGATTTATCTTGCTGTTTGTCGATTTTCTTTGATTTTCCGTGGCAAATGTGACAAGGCTATGCCGTGGGCAATCGCAAGTCTACTCCTGGGTGAGAAACATGCAGTGGTGCCCGTGCACCGTGTGACAGGACATGATGGTGGTGTGGAGCGTCGGGGTACCGGCCACTAAGGCTTTTTCGGAGTGTTCGATCATCCGTCAGGCAAAGCAAAGCAGAGGATGGCAAAGCAAAGCAAACATCGACCACACGAGTTTCTTTCTTTATCACGATGCCCCGAGGACGCCTCCTCCTTGGGTTCCCGGCCTTTTAGCCACTGAATTTGTATTCGCCGGCCATCCACAAGAAGTTCACAGGTTGATGCAAGGACCGGGTTAAGAACTGATTCGGAATTCTGGTCAAGAACAGGCAGCTGGCTGAGTCGGTTAGGGCAACGGAACGTCCGAGCGCATAAGTACGAAAACCGGATTACCGCTGGTTCCAATCCATGGTTGGACAGGAAGGGAGTCTAAAGGAACCGAGCTCAAGCGACCCGTCCTACTCTGGTTCGTAGCTTATATCCTTGCCCTATCGATATCGACGCTGGGAATGTACATAGAGTACATTATACATAAGCAGCCTTACATGCTTGATCTCCCATTCGTATTGCTGATCTTCATGTCTGTTTATTATTCGGTTTGATAACTATGACATTTTGTTGTTTTTCCTTAAGTCTTGACTGCTTCTCTCACGTTTATTTGCTGTCTTGGATTACGCCCCTTCATCACTCGTTACACTTCCAGTTTCAGTTTCAGTCTCACGAGTCTTATGGCTGACTAGGAATCTCTAGCTCCATGCATCATTTTACCAAGATCGACTCTTTTTGGAAATATCGGTTTTCATCTTGTTGGGTGTGAATAGTAACTTGACTGCTGCCCGACAGGCCGCCATGTGCAGTGATCACGAAACCAACAAGCAATATCGTGGATATTATCTTTACCCCGGTACTAAGCACTTGGTTTAACTACCTAGTCAAGCAGTTGCAATTTATACACCATACCTGAATATCTGACCTGCATTGACCTGCTTCCGGCAATATATGTACCTACTCTATGTATGTATGTGGAGTTAAAAAAACGCTACAAGCACCCCAGTCCCTTGATCTACTCGGTACACTTGCGATGGCAAACCGGTAGTGATGGCAAACAGGGGTCAGGGCACTAATTTTCTTTGGATTTTATTATTATTATTATTATTTATTGATAGTCTCTTTTGACTACAGACGGAACAGGACACAAAAGGTAAAAAAAAAGGACGTTTTGGGTGAGAGGATCAGGATGAAATGGAAACAAATATTCCCCAAAGTAACAACTCCAGCCGTCCTCCCGTTACAACTTGGGTGTGATTGAGGTTTACAGAAACCCCATTATCAATGCCCGAATCAAGCAATCACAGTATTTAATAGCGCTTAGAGTAAACCCACGTTCCAAACTCAGATAAAAACAAAGCTTTTTAAGACATCTACCATCTGCTTCACTTCAGATCCCGCACTACCGATTTGTAGATTGACACAATATGATGTAAATTTAATCTGAGTTTTAAATCCAACCCCCACTCTTTTCTTCAAGCCCGCAGATACGTCCGATTCGAGGTTGTGATTCCGGTTTGTGGAGGGGCATAACTTTTAGATTGTCATCAACCTTCATAAGATATCTCGGGCAAATGAGGGGGGGGGAAACGAGAGATCTAGAACGACCGGTGCCCAGAATAATGATTAGATGGAACTTTGAAAAAGCGCAATTGCCGGGACACACAGACCCTTCGTTATATACTCTATATACCGCACATATTGGGACTCTCGAAAGAGGATATCTACGACATATATTTGTTTTTTGTGTAAAGGTGAATTCCTTTTTTCATCCCCTTACAGAAGTTCAAGAGTTCAACCACTCGCCACCTTCTCCGTGGTTCGGAGCTTGCTGCGAGAATCATGTCATTTTCTCCATTTTGAGGAAGGGGGGGTGGTATACCTTGTCGTGGACAGGTTTAAGCGCCCTGTCAGGTGGTCTCTCTGAGTTTCTCTTGTTTCCCTCATCTCTGTCTGCTGTGATTGACGCTTTTGCAAACAAAAGGCACGAATGGTTGAAGAGAAATGGCAGTGCTACTGTACTGAGAACAGCGACCAAAAATGGTGGCGTAGCTAATGTGTACATACATAAGACGGGAAGTGTGCCATATGCGACCCCGGTAGCTGTCAAACAAAAAGCAAGATCAGAATCAAAAAGCAATAGTAAAAGAGGAAGCCAGTAAAAGAAACTCTCCAGAACCTTTTTATTTTTTTTTTGTGGAGACGCCTGAGCTGCGTGATGGGCCGTGCGTTCTCTGTCTCTTCCAGGAGGACGTTGTGGTGGAGCTGCAGCGGGTAACGCCAACAGGCAGGGTCCATATCCAAGCTCCACATCATCCAAGTGCTTCTATCATCTACCAAGGATGAAGAGAAACACCAGAATGAGGCGCATCTCAAGAAAGCTTCATACATGGCCAATCCTATGTACTCGGAGAGTTCTGGGCCGAAGTGTATACAGTGGTAACTTCCTTCCGCGTGAGAATTAAAACTACCAGATTTCGAAAACATGGTGAATGCTGTAACAAGATGTTGGGGTATGGTAATAACTGTTTTAATAATAAGAATAAAATGTAATTTTCAAACGCCCATTTCACCAAGTCCCGTTAAATGCCCTCCCACAAGTCGCCAAAGATCCATAAAGCGTACAACCTAATTACATAAAGTGAGGGGATGATTCGTAGGAATAAAACATGATTAAAACTGAACCCCATGACCAAAAAATAATAAAATAATAAACCACATTCCCGTGGTCGAGAGGTGATAGATAATGGGCCAACCGCTGCGCATCAAACTTCCGATGCAACGTCCATACTCGTAGGACGCATTACCTTATTGACTACGCTAGGCGACTTCCCCCCATGCGACTCATTTTGCGCGGCTGCGGCAGAAGCTGCGGGGCTATCATGAAATTCCCGTATTTGTTCCCTCGTTGGACTATTGGCACCATTTAAAGTAACTGTATCTGCCAATTTTGTTCTGCCTCTGCGGAGTTTTGGAGTATCCACAGCTCTACCCCTAGGGGTTGCTGGCGACATTGAAGTGCGTTTTCTACCCCTCACAGTTGTCGATGACGCCGCACGGCCTTTTTTAAGCGTCAAACCGGGAACCGAAGGAACTATCTCGAATCTAGTGGGTGGTATCATAAACCCACTGTTATCCAGCATAGGAGATTTGGCTGGTGACCTAGGCCCACTCCACTTATTGCTGAATAGATTCGGCTCGTATCCCAATTTGATATTGGGAGTTACCGGTTTGGGTATTGGGGGGAGATCATGCAGGACCGTAGTATGCTCGGTCTCAGATTTGCTGATCCTGTCTTGCTCTTGCTCCTCTTGTGCATGAGAAGCAGATTGTAACGCATCGAGATCCATGACTTCCCCGGTCGCAGCTGTCGCGGCGCCATTCCGATTGTGATTAATACCTGGGTCATCCTTCCCATCGTCGTCTCCCATTTCGACCGACGCAGTAACCGTCTCAGCCTTCTCGTCTATAGCCGATAACTTCTCTCCCGCCCTTGGTGCTATCGTTGATAGAGGTGCATCGTTGAACTGCAACGCCTGAGACCGTCCCATGAGGAAAGGTGTCCACACCAAAGCGTCAACGTTCAGCTTTACATATCCCTTTGCTTCCCATTTATCGATGTGTGCCTGAAATGCCTTGTAATCCAGGCGGAGAGCGTATGTTCCTGTAACCGGGTCTCTGATCAATGCATGCAGAGCCTCTAATCCACAAATTATATCGTCTGGCGTCATTCCTGTGCGCCTAGATATGTCCAGGATAGTCAAAGGTTCTTTTTGATCTCGCAATTCATAGCACAGTGCGAGTTTCCAGTAATTTCGATATGATACAAGGCCGAGATCGGAGAAGGGCTTTTCTGGCGAGCCAGTCTTTTTTTCAGCACGAGTAAGAAGATACGAAAAGGCGATCAAAAGGTTTCCATATCCTTTTCGTTGGTGTATCGGGAGTGTTAGAATGCAAGAAACGTTGTTTTGACTTGTTGAGCGTTTCTCCTAAAAAGATACGTTAAAACGCGTTTTCAAACAAAACATAGAATGAAGATTCATTGAAAGAGGGGGTGGGCAGGTTACGGAACAAACCTTTGAAAAGTAGCCCACAAAATGCATCCCGCATTCGTTAAATTCAGTCATAACATAGAACAGGAATGGTTCAACGTCGTAATACAACGTTTTAGACCCAAGAAATAATTTTGCAAGCAGGCAAAGATTTTGACAGTAGACTGGGTTTTTACGCCCGTCAATTTCAAAAACGGATATTGAGCCATCTCTATAAACTTCGTCGCCAGGAGGGTGCTTGGCGTCACATTTCATCTATTTTATAGGTGATGTCAGTAAAGACGGAAAACGGAGTGAGAATCCATGAAAGAAAAAAAAATATTGTGAAGATATAAATAAAGTCACTGCGGGTATCCGAGAGCCGAACCAATCAAATGAGGTACTCTGTTCATGTGTATGACGAAAAGCTTTGAACCTAGCCAAACTTTTCGCGCAAAGAAACAAAAACATAGTACATTACCAGGAGGGGACGTAAACTGACCTTATGTCTCCAGCCGACGTATTCGCTGTTCATGTACTTCAGGCAGAACTCACAAATCCACAAGACTTTGTTCCTACTATATTCCTCTGGGTAAGGTGCAGCGTACCAAGTATCGATCTCAAACTCCCCAAAGTGTATACATTCAATCTTGCTGGCACCCCCTTTCTTCTCTGAGGCTTTATCCTTCTCGCCACGACCAGTGCCATTGAGCCCATGTGATAAGGTGGAGGATGATAATTTCAATCGTGTGTTTCTTTCATCGTCCGCTTCCTCACGAGCCCTATCAAAACGTGCTCTGTCGTCCGCACCAGGGTGGGTCTTGGTTGTTTCCGCTTCTGCTTCACTTAAGATACCACCATAAGGCTTTGACTTATCGTCATCGTTGAGTGGTAGATAATAAGGCGAGACACGAGCACCTCTTGTGCTAGTAGCAGGGGTGGTGTCAGTGGCAGCCGTTGACCGTGCCCTAGCATTGCGCGTGCTGTTGGCAACAATCTTGCGTGGTCGTGGCGGTACAGTGCTGGGTTTTGGTTGTGATTCCAGAATTTTCTCCAATTTTCCAGACGTGAGATTCGTTATCCAAAGATTGAACTTCCGGGGTGTTTTTTTATATGTGACTTTAACAACTCGTTGTTCTCCTTGGTAGGAATCTGTTGTGATGGGCTGTTTGTGAATTTTCCTGGAGCTTGCACCCGGTGTATTAAGTGAAGGAGTATCATTCGACTCATGATTCCCATCAATAAGCTCGAATTCATAGAGATTGTAATCTCCAGTTTGATTATCAGAGACATGGCCATTGGCCCTGACCTTGTCTTGCTTCATACGTTTCCTTCTTCGAGCACTTACTGGACCATCATCTTCCTCATCTATATCGCCAGCCCTTCGCTTTCTAAGCGTCCTCGAGTTGTCTTCTTTGCCTGGAGGATTTGTGTCTCAGATCAACCATCATTTAAATAAACTTAATAGCTCAGGAGTTATGAGGACTTACCGGCACTAACCCGTCGCGAACGGCTCTTATGAGATGGCGTGGATTCGGGAATTGGGTTAGAGTCGTGACCGCTTGCAACACATGTAGGGCATCGCCATTTTCCAGATTCTGTCAAAAAAAAAAAAAAAAAGTAGGTCAAACCTCGCCCAAGAATATAATCGACCTATTATATATATACCTTCATCTAGGGCTGACTTTACTCCCCCGTTGTTATTGTCCTGATTATCACATTGCTTATGCGCTATATGGCAACCAACCATATATCAGCACAATTACCCCAAGACAAACTAATTTTAAAGAAATTGTACTCACAAAAAGCGTTGCACATTTCACATTCTAGCGGAGCTTCATAGTCCGGGCTTGGATCGTTATATTCGTCGCCGCCACAGTGTCTATCACAACAAAACGATGTTAGCACCCAATCTCTGGCATACGATGGTTTATATTAGTAGCTGCGTACATGCAAAGCGCCTTAGTTGGCCGTTCCACTTCGTCATCTTCGTCCCCCTGCCAGATCTCAACGTCCCCATCCTCATCAGACGACACAGATGATTCATTTTCTCCCGCGGATTGGTCCGCTTCTGCCTCGTCTTCATCTTCCTCGTCTTCTCCACCCCCGAATTCATCCTCTCCACGCTGTCGTCAGACAATCTGATCAGTAGCCGACCATTAAACCGATTCCTCCAAGAATGTGAAGCGTACCTTTCGTTTCCTGGCGCGCCTCCCAGAGCGCCGTGTCTGGCTCGACGGCGCAGGACTCCCACTATCGCTCCTATCCTCCACCTCCCTCCTCGAACCAGCCATAATACCGGAATCGGGGCCGGAGGTGAGGAGCGTCAACGCCCGAACAGGAAGAGAAAACAATGCGGCAACTTTTCTCGTTAAATTCGTAATACTTCTTAGTTCCTAACCCCCCAAACTCACGACTCGTGAGTTACTGCTAGAACACCCTTTGTCCAAGTGCTGTTGATGAGCAGTTTATTTTGACAAGCAATTTGCAACTCGCGCCGCTACCATTAACTCTTTTTGTAGAATTATTATTGTCGGAGGGCTGTTGAATGTAGATGCCTGCGAGCTTGATGAGAAGGCTAGGAGGTGATGTGATCGTATGTAAGCCGTCTGCAGCCGGTTTGGACAGGCCTAATCTCGTGGCGCAAAAGAAATGGTTTCGACGCGAGGCTATGATCCAGCAGAGTAGAAGGCGACTCAAAACGCGTCCGAAAAGTGATGGCGAGTTACAGACAGCAGCAGAGAAGGAAGACGTGTTGACCCCCTGCGAAAAGGCGTCCTGGTGCAGTTGGAGGAATCGCAGTGCTGCCGTGAGGTCACACAAGCCACCATTACCGCTTTGAGTGTTAGCGGGCAGCGCTTCGTGACCACGGAGCCGCTTGTGATGCGTAAGAATGAGCACGTCCCCTGCCCCACCGCATCTGCAAGCCGACGTCGACTGTAGTGACAGGAAATACGAAATTCACAAATAGACACTTCCCGACTCAATAAATCAGATACCATGGCTATTCCCTTCGAAGCGTTTTTGCCATACGCGATCATGTTTGGCGTAAGCTCTGTAATTTCTGTTCTTGTTTCGTGAATCGCTAACGAGAGGTCATCGTGGTTATCCAGATGTTTGGAGCTACCGGTTTGGTTAGTATCTTTCTCCGGCCAAATTGAGTGTTCAAGGCCTAGATGATTAAACCGAGAGTCGAGTAGGGACTTTCAGCTGTGCGTACATACCGTAACGATGGAAAGCGACACAGATGGAGTCTGGATCATTGGGATAAAGTAAGTGGTCCCTTTTACTCTGGTGGGCAAAGCAATTTTGGCTGATATAGGCTGTTTATGACCACAGCAAAGTAATAAGAGATTCCTATACCTCCAGCCATCTCAGAGGTATTCCCAGACTACACAAACTTTAATATTAACGTTGGGCTAGTGATGGAACGCGATCGCCGTTTGACTGGAAGTATGCGAGGCCAGACCGATAACGCTGTGGCACCCGCGGGTTTCGAATTGAGCTCTGCCTGGAAGGTAATCATTTTTTTTTTTTTTTTTTTTTTTTTTTTTTGCTGTTGGCGGGAGCAGACGATATGTGCCAACCTCAGAGCTAACCTCTGTAATTTTGTGTCTATAGCTCGAGAAGAGAATCTACTAAGCTCCATTGAGAAGCTGTTGAAGAAAACACGTATCTCAAAAATGAATGGAAATAGATTCAATTAATAAACCAGTTGTTTTTTATTCGATTAAGAAAAACCATTTGACCGCCAATTTTCATCTGAAAAGGTATTTGGCGCTCAACGTAGATTAATTGAATATAGCGATACAGATACCATACCCACTATTCAATTTTTTCTGATATTTAGCTACATGTATCTTCCTTTATTGCCCGCTCACCTACGTATGTACGTCTAGGTTAATTGAACCCGTTACAAGAGTTTTGGGGTTCTCGCCCACCTGCCGAAACAAGTTGCATAATAGGGGTACCTGGTTTTGAATGTCCCGCGAAAGATATATTGTTCCGTCCCAGTCACGAGTATATCACATTGGCCAACAGGCCGGCCCATTGCCTAACTAGCCGTCCTGTTGATAAATATTGCCTATTGACCAATGCTTCCTGAGATTTGACAACAGTCACTGATCTTCTGTCCGGCTGGCCAATGCCGGCCAGAATTTGACCAAATTTGACTAATATATAGCGGTGATTGTTAGTTAACTCCCAAAAGCCATCGCCTAACTAAGAAACTCAAAGAACACACTCTACCTACCGTCCTAGGGCTACATACGTAATGCAAATAAAATGTATTTCTTTAATAAATATCTAACTAACATGTAGGGCCGGGCCAACGACTTTCCGCCGAAAAAGATGAGAATTGTGTAGCAAAATGCCCTGTAAGCGAAAAATAAGAGCTCGTTCACGGAACATACACATAATCACTAATTGAAAGACTTATATATATATCAATATTATTAACAGCTTTACGGGGAAAGATTGGTGTGTATGTGCATAAATCCGTATGGTCTTCCTGTTCATGCACGTTTGTGTCGCTACGGACCCGTGTGCTAGTAAACTGTGTTATGTACCGAAAGGACCTTGAGGATGACACACTCTCGAGACTATTAGAAACTCTACTCTACTGTGCCCAACTTGCCGACATATTTTATCTATTCCGAGACACTGCGACCGACCAACGACGTGAACGGGCTGCTAGAGCTTGTGATACTGAAGCACATATACCTACATGTACTTAAGCATGTAGGCATTAGGTCTTAGGGTGGAGCTATCGACTTCTACGAAGACTGATCTGGTCCTAACTCTGAGTCGCTAAGAGGAGGGACGAGTGTGCAGGGATGGCTACTGAGCTCTACAGTCGCAACTCGATATGCCGGATTGCCAAGATTCTAAGGATTTCGTACGGGATAGCAAAAAATCCGGGATAGCAGATTGATTTTGCAGCAGGAAAAATAATATTCTCAGAGGATCTCGTACGGGACAGCAAGGGATCCGGTGTATTGAGTTCCGGCATATCGAGTTGCGACTGTACTTGATAGCCAATGTGCTTTACTTTACTTTGAGGGTTAAGTACATGCGCGCATTAATCATTGGTTGAGAATTACCCGGTCACCTTCCTGTCGGTTTGTAGATCATTCTCTAATTCAATTCATATAAAAGAATCTTTGTATGGCACAGGTTATTCTATCATGTACTTACAATACATACATACATGTACCTACATTTGTCTAGAGAAAATTCGTTGCGCCTCAGCAGGGAGTTAGGCCAACCAGAGGCACTCTTTGAATGTCAATTCTGCAGGTTTTGATGTAGAATACCCCTGCTGCATCATAACAAAATTTCTCGGATTTTCCGGTGCGTTACTATGAGATGTGCCTACATGTATCTGTGAGTACTATTCTCTCCCTGGCGAATAATGTGAGCACTGAGGTACATACCGCCTAGAGTACTCTAAAGAAGGCTGAGATAGATGCAGGCTTGGCAGCTGCAGGATATATGTAGCTGGACTTACCGGGCCCGGGTACGTCGGAGGTTTTAGTTAAAATTCATACCTGCATGTATGTACATACTCTACTCGTATTTTCCTGACGTTTGTAAAAGGAACCGCTATTGCATACCATACTAAATTGTGGACTTGGCGCGTATTTGTATGGTATGCAATAGTGGTTCCTTTTACAAACGTCAGGAAGATACGAGTACTCCAGGAATACATGTAGCTATATAGAGTAGTTGATAGTCCGGCCACAGCCCTGCGGCATGTATGCATCAAAACTCGCGTGTGTCGGCGAGTATTTATGATCTTGCTTTACGTACATGCGAGAGCTTCTAGTATCCATGTTGCTCCGACGATGCATCGAAGAATAGGTGTTACCGAGTGATAACCTATGATTCACGATAGCAAGATACCAGTTCCGGCAATGATACCGATTGGATTTCCATGAATCCAAGAAAACAGTCACACAAGCTTCACACCGCGTCTCTCTCCCATCGACTCTTTGGAATACAAGGATTTCAACTTGCGATGCACCTCAGCGGTAACATCACGGCGCAGCGATAAGTGAGTCAAGCTTGGGACCAGGTCAGCCCATCATCAGCATCCGTATTAGAGTTACAATCATAACGATCCACCTTTAAAGCCGCCCACCTCCCACCTCCCATCTCCCACCATGTTTTACGATAACCTCGACTGTCAAATGTCTTCCGGATCTCTTCAGCTCGTGCCTACGGCAACGCGTATAGACTTCAATGACACCCCACTGAAGTCATGCTATGGTGAACCCAACAATTACTACGCCCTGGTGATCGATGACTGCTTTACAGCTTCCGAATGCGCCGACCTTATTGGGCTTGCAGACTCAGACTGGAAAGCTGCAGCGCCAAACACAAATCGTAGGGACTGTTCTCGGATCATCAAAGAAGATGTTGTGGCTGCGAAGCGTATCTATGACAGGGTTAAGCCATTTTTAGAGGAAGTCACCGAGATCGGACCGGGCAGCACTTGGGAGAACATTCCAGGGAAAATGAAGACGGGACAGAGTAAGGGTAGATGGAGGATGACCAGGTTTGTGTCAATTCAATTTTTTGCTGGTTATTTGGTCAAAGCAAAATTTAGAAACGGGGCTAGTAGCATATAAAGATTTCTAACAATTTAAAAACTCAGACTTAACGAACGCCTCCGATTTTTGAAGTATGGCGAAGGACAGAAGTTCACGCAACATTGCGACGCACTGTACACCACCCCCGACAAATCTTTAAAGTCGCTTCTGACTCTCCACCTTTACCTTAATGATTCATCTGAAGGTAGCGAAGACCCTGCTGACCTAACGGCTTCCCCAAAAGAGATAAAAAGAGGGGGAGCAACACGGTTTTGGAACCCAGAGAGAACCGAATTTGTAGATGTCGAGCCAAAGAGAGGGAGGGTTTTGATATTTCAACAGAGAATGCTATGGCACAGCGGCGAGGAGGTTTTGGAAGGGGTTAAGATGACTATGAGAAGTGATTTGATGTTTGAGTGGGCTCAATTTGAGAAAGGAGAACACTAGCAACAGCTTCAAGCAAACCAGAAGATACCCACTTGTTTTTAAAATTGGATTCTCTAATACTTACCTAAGAGGGCATTGCATTTGTTACTAACTGTGGTTGTGCATCGTGAACTCAATGGATACAAGCATAATGTGTACAAAAGCTGTATGGATCAAACAAATATTTCAAAACACCATTATGTAGCCATGTTTAAGACTATGATCGATCGCCCATACCCTAACCTAATGAAGCCGTTTTGAAAACACCAACTCCAAGAAACAACAGAACCTGCATACCTTCCAATGGTCAAACTGCCTCCTTTACTTTCTGCCCTAATGGCGCTTCGTCAACAAAATCCGGTATCCCGCCTACAGATTCACCCTGTAGAAAATTTGGGATCTCTCCGGCGCCGACTGAATCCGCATCCCATCCCCCGCTGAGCTCCACCTCTTCGCCCAAAGCTTCGAGCTCGGCGTCTAGCTCTGCTTCGTCCACGTCTACCTACTGTATTAGCCCGGTTTGCGCCAGAACGCCAGGAACTAAAGCAAACCTTCAGGAATATCATATGATCTTGAGATAGATTCTTGAATGTCATTACCGATATCCATCAAATCTGCCATCTCATCCTGGAGTTGCTCGACTAGTATTCAAAAACCGCCCATCAGCGTATGTTTGATATTTACCGTAAGGGACGAAGAATGCCTACTCTTGTCGATATTTATTTTCCCGTATTGTTTCTTCAATTCTTTATTCGTTGTTTTGAGTGCGTCAACAGTAACCATGACATCTGTTTTCACCGAAGTGCGCGATCCGCCCAGAGGGGAAGCGTGCTTTCGTATCAGTAAACCCCGACTAAATAATAGATTTGACACTACCATCACTACTGCAATAAATGCTAGAGATAGGAAGAATTGATCTCTAGGCAGTAGTAGTGGTGCAGAAAGAATTGAAATATATGAGAAAAGCGGACTTTTGAGGTTGTCTTGCATCATCCCAGCTTGTTCCATGTTCCAAGACTGTTGTTGGATCTGGTCCTTCTGTGATTCGTACATTTTACGTCGTTGGAGTACCTTTAAAGCCTATTTTGAAAACTCTCGATTAACAAAAAGCACAGATTTATGTGTGACATGATGTCGAGCTTAAGACAAGAAAAAAATAGAGCTTGCCTTTTGCTTCAGGGCGTTCTTCCCAGGACCTTCACGCATCTTAGAGAGTCGTTGCTGGTAGGTGGCAAGTTCGGCATTTAGCTTAGAGAGCTGGACGTCAATAGAGTCAACGCGAGACTCGAGCTATGAAGTTCGAGACAAAACCTATCAGCATATTTTTTTTTTTTTTTTTTTTTTTACCCATATATAATAAATGACTCTGGAAAACATGTGTACGCATGCACTCACATTCCCAATAGCACCTTGAAGAGTGGGCTTCGGAGCAGTATTTTTGGCGCCAAAGAGACGGTTCATGGTGGAAGCTGATTCTGATTGAGTACGCGTATTTTGGATTGACCTCGGCAAGAAGAAAGGTATCTGGGGTAGACAAGATGGTGATGGTGGTAGGTGGTTGTAACTTGTAACTGCGATAGAGGCTCTTGGCCCAGGCTTCTCAAGGATAGATTTCACCTCACCCCGCCTGCACGTGCGGCAATCGTTAATCTTAGCCCTGATCAACGTTACACAGCTAATCTGTTAGACTCTCACTAGTCAGCATCACTAGTTGACTCAAGTTTAATAATTCTACTGCTCTACAGACTGTTTAAGCGGGGAGCGAAAAATATTCCTGGCATCATCAAACAACAACTCTAAAAGCCCAAACGAAACTGCGCCGCCGAAAGATGGCCCAGGACAATGCAACTCAGGGAATTTTACCAGACATTGAAGAACGACTTGCAGCCTTTGGCTGGTACCAAGCAAGCAATATACCCTCAACTGAACATCATCGTAACGAACTTCTCCGCTCCATAAACGTCGCTTTCGGTCTTAATGCCGATAGGAACTTGATTTGGGCGAATGACGATTGCTACCTATGGCTTTTTACTTGCAATGGATCCTTTTATGTCACAAATCTCGATCACGAATTTGTCGCTCTCGTTGCTGATGATTGGAGCACCACTCTGGATAACCTCTTACAAGAAGCCCACGCTTATGACGGACCTGTTAGAATGACTGGAAAGGCTTACGATCGCACGGCAGCTGACGAATCGGACTTATTGGAGGAATGGTATGAGAAAAACGCACTCGGTGGGGGCATTTGAGATCAAAACGAGTGGTAATTGAAACCTGTTGATATTAAGATATATATGCAATGGTTAGGAGGGTGGAAGCGGGCTCACTACCTATCAAACCTGTATGTTACGGTTGCGGAATTCTAAGTGGATAAACTCCAATGGTTGCTTGCTTGATCAAATAGAAGTTTCCGCCAATCTGGGTCATATCAACTTTTATGTAGCTTTATAAATAGCATTTATGGGCCAAAAGTACATTTTCTGGTGCAAAATATTCCCATAACCTGATAAATGAGAATGAGATAATAGTTCTTGTTATTGTCTTCCGCTTTTACGTTTTAAATAAGAAAGAAAGAGTTTACAGTACGGTAAGAGAGTAAACACAGAGTAGTATTAACGTTAAATTGAACCGGTCTACCTAATCCCCCAACAGTCCGCAATTTTCCATGACGCAAGGATGGCATTTGTTGATCGGCCGATATGAAAATCTCAAGAAACCAATCATTAACTGATGTAAGGATGCATGTAGGTTAATAAATTCAGTAGTCTTTTAACCCTGGAATGGGCATAGTATAATTTGTGATAAGCCAAGTTTAAAATCACTAGAGTATTCTATTGTGTCACAAAAGTACATGTAGGTAAAAATACGTCTATCCCATAAGCCTTATATTCAAACTCAAACTCGAAAGAAGAAAAGCAAGTTTATGGACAAGTAGGTAATCTGGTATGAAACCTCTTGAGCCAATATCGCCTATAAATAGTTGATAAGTACTGCAGCCTACCACAATACCTATTTTGATCTAGATTCTGCCCTTTTGTTGCTTTTCTGTACCGCATCACCTGAATGCATCCTATCCAATAGCGCTCTTCATCTCTCACTAATTTTTTCTTCTTTCTTATACTAAACTCGCTCTTTATCTTCTGCTGACTAGCTATCTTGCGGAGCTAAATTGATCCTTTCTCGCGTTAAAGACGCCCCGCGGCCGGTGCTTACCGCACGCACAACTTCCAACAACTCATCCTCGTGGCTTCCGACGGACCATTCCGGCGCATTCCTCCATCTTTGTTTTGATCCTGTAAGTCTAGCGAGGTAGATATATGCGGGATACTCACCCACTCGAGTTCAAATTCTTATCTTAGCGACTATTTCACTATTATTGTTGGCTGGTCTATTTCCCCTCATCAGCTTCTCCCTCTATCAACCCCTCCCCCAGATCCATCCCCCACCCCCGCCCCCTAGCAAAAGCAACAGCTGTAAGTTCTGCTCACGTGCCCTCCACGGGAGCCTCTTCACAGTAAATAAATCGGGAGACTGACGGTTAACCACTGGAGCTTATGCAGACCTCATCTCAAGAGCCCTTCTTAGCATCGTCATAATCATCATACACCGCTTTGCAGGGGTAAGATTAGATCTCTTGATAACACAATCGCCATCAGCCCTCCCCCACACAACAACAGCACCGACCTCCCACCCCCCCCACCAGCATCACTACCGACACCAGCAACCATGTTCTGGCGTTTTGGAGGCTACGCGAGCATTTCGACTCTAGACTCGATTCTAGATAAGCCTGACGTAACTCTCGAGGAGTTGCTTGATGAATCAGATCTTATCCAAGAGTTAAAACAACACAATACCAAGCTTATCGAGTACTTAAGGGACGAAGCTGTCTTACGTAGATTACTCGAATACGTCATCGCGCCCCGACGGACAGAAGAGTCTTCATCTTCTGATGGATGGGAGAGCAGTGTCAGTAGCAAAGAGGGAGAAGAAGGGATCCAGAACGGATGGGCTCAGCTTTCCGAGACCGAGCAAAAGGCTGAGCGGGAAAGGGAAGAAAAGTCAAGATTGAAGTATGCCTATGTCTCATGCGAAGTACTTTCAAGTGAGACATGGTCTTTGGCTGAGTCTTTGATGGGAAATTTATCACATCTACGGATGTTTTGGGAGTTTCTCGAGCGTCCTTCTCCCTTGGACCCTCTACAAGCTGGTTATTTTACGAAAGTTAATGAAACATTGTTGGACAAGAAAACAGAGGAAATGATGGAGTTCTTTAAAGGCTTGCCCAACATCGTTTCTAAGATTTTGAAACACGTTGAATGTCCCATGATTATGGATTTGTTACTGAAGATTATCAGCATGGAGAAATGTGAAGGCGGTGCGGGTATTGTTGAAGTAGGCATCTATTCATCGAATCGCTAAACACTTTGAAATAAGTCATAATTACTGATTATCCATAAATGACAGTGGCTCCATTCTCAAAATTTAATGCCTCAGCTTCTCAAGTTTCTTTCCCCGGAATACTCGGCTGTAGCTCAGACATCGAGCGGAGATTTCATCAAGGCTATCATCACAATTTCAGCTAATGCTTCTCAAAACGAACAATCTTGTATCGGCCCCAATGATCTTACCCGACAGCTTGTCTCCGAAGCATGTGTTAAGGGCCTTATCCGTGATATGCTCTGCGGGGGAAACCCGCTTACTGTTGGTGTTGGAATCGTCATCGAGGTTATTCGTAAGAACAACTCCGACTACGATCCAGAGGTTGGAGGTATCGACAACACTCCCTCAAGCAGAGATCCCATCTATTTGGGCACATTACTGCGTCTCTTTGCTACACACGTTCCCGACTTTATGAATTTGATATTGACACAGACGATGGTTGTAACGAACGATGATGGGACGAAAACGGAAAAAAAGAGGGAATTAAAAGCCGCTTATGGAGGAACAATCGAGCCATTAGGCTTTGACAGATTTAAAACTTGCGAGTTGATGGCAGAATTGTTGCACTGCAGTAACATGGCTCTCTTAAATGAACAGGGCGCCGAGCGGTATGTAAGGGAAAGAGACAGGGAGCGTGATAGGATATGGGCCGAGAGGGAGCGGGATAGGCTGGAGGCAGAGGGTCTTGCTGATATCAACGGAGTGGTTGAGGGCGTGGTAGTTGAGAAGGCTCCTTTGCAGGTGCAAAATGGTGGGGTAGAGGATACAATAAACGAGGAGGATTTTGAGGATGTGGCAGTTTCTCTTGAGACTGGGAGGGAGTCGGCTCAGACCAGTATTGACCAAGATCCCTTCAGCGATCCTGAGAAGGATTCTAAACCTCAAAAAGCTTCTGAAGACGAAGACCTTTTTGTTGATGAACCACTTTCCCCCCCGACTACTCCAGCTGACACGACAATCACCTCAACTTCTGATAATAGCAAGCCTGTTCCGGCAGCAATACTTGCAGATGAGATCCCCCGACTGGATGTTACCCCACCAACAACAGTTTTAGCAGTTGGGTCACCAGCCCCCTTCGGGACGACCGAGAAACCCAAGGAACTGGAAAAAAGGCTAAAAGGTGTTGATTCTCCTCTTCCGCCTCTGCCAGAGAATGGAAAGGATTCAACCGAGAAGGATCAAACAGGGATTGAACGGAATGAGGGTGGTTTACTAAACACCGAAGTCCCCAAAGCACCATCACCCCCTCCAGTGGAGGAAGATGATGATAGTCTTCTCAAAGGTGGCAGGTCTTTGGTAGCCGATATGAAAGCTGCGTCTGTCACATCGTCACCAAGTCCTCAACCCGGCACAATAACCCAGGAGCGGATGGATGCCGAGCTTCCCCCACTCCCTCAGGAAGCTCTCGATCAACAAAACCAACCACAATACCCCGAAGAGGATCTTATGGACCTCGGAGGCTCATCTGATACAACCGTCTCGGATGAAGGGAATGCTACTTTCAGATCTCTGGGAAACTCGAGTTTCGAGGAATATGAGCCAATGATTGAAAAGGATTCGGATGGAAACCCGGTTGTAGGTGATTTCTTGAAAATGATGTTTGTTGAGAATTCGGTTGTTCCCACCATCTTGGTAAGCTTCCCTTCTTTATTTTTGTCATCGTCGTGAAGGATTATTTACTAACATTGGGCTACAGGATTTCTTTTTCCGTTTCCCTTGGAATAATTTCTTGCACAATGTTGTATACGACGTTGTTCAACAGGTCTTTAATGGCCCAATGGACAGAGGATACAATCGCGCCCTTGCCATCGATCTCTTTGTCACAGGCCGCATCACAGAGCGAATAGTTGATGGCCAAAAGGAGTCTGATAGAGTACAAGCTGAACGGAATATGAGGCTTGGTTATATGGGACATTTGACGCTTATCGCCGAAGAGGTAGTCAAGTTTGCCGAGCGCCACCCTCCAGAAATTTTGGGCCATAAAGTCCTCGAAAAAGTCTCTGATTCTATCTGGGTGGAATATGTTGAGGACACCCTAGCGGCTACAAGAGAAAGAGATAATGCCATCCTAGGAGGTGTGAGACCAGATATGAATGTGGGACCGCGACAAGCTGTTCTGAATGCCGTTCAGGCCCAAGCATTTAATGCTAATGCTACGAATGCCGGATCATTGACTCTTAGTGGCAGCATAGCAGCTGAGTTAGATAGTATCGATTTACAAAACGGCAGTAATAACAACAACACCAATACATCTACTGTTGTGGCCAGTGGAACCGGTAGCGGGAGTGCAGGTGGGCTTTTGAGCGGGTTCGGAAGCTCAAGCGATGAGGAAGACGAGGACTTGGAGCATGATGAAGACGATGAAGAGGTTACGAGACTAGGGTTGAGCGGAAGTAGCGATCAAGTGGGTGACCTTACCGATTTTTTGTTTGATGATGACCTTGAGGACATATTCGAGGATATGACATTCCTATGAGTTCAAAAAGGCCTGTTTATAGTGTTTCTCTCTCTCTTTCATTCCTATGAGTTGGGAGTCTTTTTCCTGACCGCCCTTCTCTTTTGTATCTTTTAAAATCCCCGCGGCGTTCAGGAAAACAGGGCGGTGGAGTATGGTTTGCTTATATCCGAGGAATAGCCTTTTTTTCTTCTTTTTTATTTTTTACATTCATTCCTTTCCTTTCCAAAAGTTTCTGCCTTTTTACTTTTCTTTATCAAGAGACTAGATTTTCACTCTCGTCTCCAATACTTTCTTACTTTCCTTGTGTTCTGATGGTGTACACCACGTACCGCAGAAAAGATAACGCCCGAGTTGAGAGCCAAAGATTGCTAACCAGAAATGGTGATACGTATCATTATAGTTTGCCACGTACATATCCCAAGAGATAAGTAACGTCGACAAATTCGGATCCTCTGACGAAGAGGATGATGATGAAATTTCATTCTCAACTGCCCCCAGCGAGCCCCCGCCGCCACCGCCATTGCCTTTGAACATAACTAGAAACTCCACAACTACACCAACTACGCATTCTGCGGCGAGGCAGAACGCTGACGTTGAGGGGGATAGCAGTGGTGGGTTCGAGGAAATTGAGGAGGTTGACGTTTTTGCTGAGGATGTCGATGTATGCCACTTTCTATTCCCCATCCTTAGCCCTGGATTTTGACTAATATTGGAAGGGAAATTTCTAGAGCTCTGATGAGGACGATGATCTCACCTCTGGATTAGGAAGACAGAAACCGAGCCCAACCCACGAAGCGGAGAAACGTGTAATGCTGGAGGAAGAGGATACAGATGTCGATTTCATAAGCGCAGGTATCAAAGGACTTGATGTGAAAAAGAGTACGCCTGCAAGCGACGAAAAAGCCGCTTCAGCCCCAGCGGAAGTTGGGGCGGGGGCTGCCATCGAGGGTGGTAAATAGTATAAGAGCATGGCATTCTGCGAATTTTTGTGAATAGACGGTGGTGGTATATATGCCATTTGAGAATCATGCTCTTTTGACATCTTCCATCATCTTTTCGTTCCTGTTGCTAGTGTATTGCTAGATGGTTGGGTTTTTCTCTTTGGGGTGGGGTGGGACGGAGGGTTGGGTTGGGTGGCTCTTTCTTATTTCTGTTTTCTCTGCGCGAGCAATATCTTATCTGTGTTTCTTTCTTTAATCGCATATTGATGTCAATTTTTGGGAGAAAGAACTATCCGAGGGAAGAAGACTCCTAACACTTAACATCTTCCTTTAGGATCAACCTATCAAGCCAACCTACGAATCTGGATCGTTTTTTCTTGTCTTACTTAACATAAAGGCATTGTATTTTCATGGTGAGGGCGCATTTCATTTACTTTCCATTTTCTCTCTTTGGAAATATATCAATCAGGCATGGGGTATCGGAATCATTTCTAGGTGGGAGGAATAGTCTATGCTGTGACGATTTGTATGAGTTATGGTCATTTTTTGAACAATTGATTCATCATTCGAAGGGGTACAGGTATTATGAATAAGCCAGGTACATAGTTGAATTTATGTAGTAAACTACTCTACGAATTCTCGAATGCTGATTGGTACAGCACTTGGGATCGTGATGGGAGTGAGGGAGAATAAAACCGACCTAATGGACCGAAAATATGGCCCTAGAGACCACTTACCTTTGATATCACTTGTAATTAGACCATTGTGGACAATACTTATAAGATCTCAAGAGCAAGAGCGTTCTTTATGATACCTGCCCTGGGTTCTTGTATCCTATGAGCTTACCCTGCATGAAACCAGGCTTGAATAGCCCAGGGGAAAAAATGGAGGAGTCTCGAGATATACATTTTGCACTTTTATTTCGTCCTCCCCGGGACCCGCAGATAATTCTCTTCCTCGGTCGCCACAGAGAATCGGCGAGTGATGTCTGGTGGGTGGAGAGCGGGGAGCTGTCACCCAATCAGCAGCTACGAAACATAGATTACCTCAGCTAGTCTAGTGCCCAGAACTGCGGTCGACCCCACGACGCCCGACGACCATCATCATCGATTTCACCCCTCCGTTCACTAAAGCGGACATCCGGACTCGGGCTATTTAAACAACACTTTGCCCCTCCGCCTCCCCCGGCTCGCAGCAGAGCCAAGCTTGCTCAATTGACATCAACACCACTATTCATCGTCGAGAATGTTTCTAGCACGGCACACCCCGTCCGGTTCGGCGGTTGCAGTGGTATCGCGCCTGGCTCGCCCTTCCGCTGCTATTCAACAGCGTGGGTTGGCCACCTCCAGCGATGCCCCGCCACCGAAGAAGACGAAGTTTGGCGGATTATCAGACCAGGACAGAATCTTTCAAAATCTGTACGGCCAGCTTGGGGCGGATCTAAAGACTGCCAAAAAGTATGGTGATTGGTACAAGACAAAAGAGATCCTGCTCAAGGGCCACGACTGGGTATGTTTCTATGTCTTCTTTACATGGAGTTGGATATTTGGCCAAGTGGGATGGATAAAATGCTAACGCTTGACCTGTATGGGATAGATTATCTCTGAAATTAAAGCATCCGGCCTTCGTGGACGTGGAGGGGCAGGGTTCCCTTCCGGCATGAAATGGGTATGCGCCTAGTTTCCGGCATCGATATGCATACAAGATGCAATTTGCTAATGTTCAAAAAAAAGTCTTTCATGAACCCACCTGGATGGGAAAAGGGAACTACTCCTCGTTACTTGGTGGTCAACGCAGATGAGGGCGAGCCTGGAACCTGCAAGGATCGTGAGATCATGCGTAAAGACCCTCACAAGCTCATTGAAGGTTGTTTGGTTGCAGGACGAGCTATGAACGCTACTGCAGCTTACATCTACATCCGTGGAGAGTTTTACCACGAGGCAACTGTGCTTCAGAGAGCTATTCAAGAGGCATATGCCGATGGACTTATCGGCAAGAACGCCTGTGGATCTGGATATGACTTTGATGTCTTTATTCACAGAGGGATGGGGGTGGGTAGATTCGACTTATGCGTCAATGATCAAATGCTAATTATGTACTACAGGCCTACGTATGCGGTGAGGAAACTTCTCTCATTGAGTCGCTTGAAGGAAAGCCGGGAAAGCCCCGTTTGAAGCCTCCTTTCCCGGCTGCTGTCGGTCTTTTTGGATGCCCATCTACTGTCGCCAATGTTGAGACTGTCGCTGTTGCTCCAACAATTTGTAGAAGAGGCGGTTCATGGTTCGCCCAATTTGGTCGTGAGAGGAACTCCGGTACCAAGCTTTTCTGTATTTCTGGTCACGTCAATAACCCCTGCACTGTTGAGGAGGAGATGTCGATCCCCCTCCGAGAACTAATTGAGAAACATTGTGGTGGCGTCAGGGGTGGATGGGATAACTTGCTCGCTGTTATTCCTGGAGGATCTTCAACCCCTATTTTGCCCAAAAACATTTGTGACGATGTTCTCATGGATTTCGATGCTTTGAAGGACGCTCAGAGTGGTTTGGGAACTGCCGCCGTTATTGTTATGGATAAGAGCACAGATGTTGTCCGAGCAATCTCAAGGTAATTCCCCGAATAGTGTACACATACAGTTCCACCATCCCTAGCAAGTAGTTAACCCAAAGTGTTCATAGGCTGTCTAAGTTTTACAAGCATGAGTCTTGTGGACAGTGTACCCCTTGCCGTGAGGGTAGTAAATGGACTGCACAGATAATGGAGCGCTTCGAAAAGGGCCAAGGAAGGGAACGAGAAATCGATATGCTCCAGGAGCTCACCAAGCAAGTCGAGGGTCATACCATCTGTGCTTTGGGTGAGGCGTTCGCTTGGCCACTGCAAGGACTCATCCGTCATTTCAGGCCAGAGTTGGAGGCTAGAATGGCAAGCCATGCTCAGGCTAGCGGCGGATCGGCTCTGGCAGGTGGATGGGAACATGATGCTCGGTTGAAGGGAAAACTTATTGCACCGGGACAATAGTTATGTTGTTATTTGTACATTTTGTTTTGAATGCCCATATTATAGTATGGACTAAGTTTTCTATGTGGATACCAGTGAATTATTTTTGTTGCATTTATCTTGTGAATATATCAAACACTTGATACATTCCAATATGCTGGATTTGAAATAACTACTGGTGATCAACCATGAGTATGTGCATGAAGTTTTTACCCATTAGCAAATAAGAATTTTGAAGTATCTTTATGTAGTCTTCAGAGTAACATCGCCTTTAATTTTTCTCTTCCTAATTTGCGGCCCTTTTATGATGCAAAATCCCAAAACTCCTGATATACGAAAAAAAGCAAAGGCGGAAAAACACCTCTTTCTAATTGCATTATTGCACAATCATCTCGTCAACTATCACTCGAGTCATCCTACTCACTATAGTAGCTTTAGATGGCCGGAGATTTCGTTCACGACAGACACGGGCGCTATGTATCAATCACTGTTAGTAAATAGTTCTTTCCTTAACTCAACCATCTCCAGATAGAGATATTACCAGGTCCGATACCCAGTACCGTAGCACTGCCAGCTGCGATCTGTGTCCGGCCCGCATCATGCACAATCTTAGCGACAACACCCAAACTCATTGCCTGCGCTTGTAGTATATTAAGTTCGTCCTCGCCTTTGGCTTGTAATGCGATTTTTGCCTGGCCATAATTTTCCCAGGCACGCACAAGGTGCGGGGCATGCTTTTGGGACGCTTTGTAGCACATGAGAGTTGCGTGCCCGCACTGGGCAGCGATTTTGCCCTAATTTTTCGTTTCAGTTTCACAATAGATCTTATGAGATATTGCGGAAAGATTGGGCTATACCTTTGTCATTCCGAGATCTGTACGGACTATCAAAACCTACTTACGCCGGGAGAAGTCAGCCATATCCATGCTGAGCCCAAGTGGTAGAATTCAGCTCGTTGTTCATTAACTGATAGAGTTATACAGGATTTACCATTTTGCAAGCTTCATGGCTATTCTCAAACTTATTGATATTGACCCCCCCATCGTCATCCTCTTCATCTTCGCCATTCTCATCTTCCGATTCCCACTCCACATCCTCGTCATCCTCTGCATCCACCTTGGCCTTTCCCTTCCCCTTCTTATCGACAGCTTTGGTACCCGTGTTCCGATCTGTTCCGGCGCCAAAATTATCATCAAGCACTACCGTGTCCTTTCCATTCAGCTCATGAATGTTTTCTGCCTTGCGGAGGCCGGAGGTCTTGCCGACATAGTAGCCGGCGATGGCACAAAGGACCGCCGCGAGGAGTGTGGTGAATGGTGGGCTTAGTGCAGGCATCTTTCTTTCGAGCGTAAAGAATATGGGGTCAGAATAGCCTAGCAAAGGGTGGAGCGGAGGAGAACTCGGTGGATTGTGGTTGTGTGTTTATCTTTCAGATTTTGAGGTTCAAACATTGGACCAGCACCATGCATGTCACGTGTGTAACATATAAACTCCGGGAGCCAATGATAATTGCTTTACGTACATAGTTCCCAGTCCAGAACTGAATGCACTGCAGGGCATTATCTATTACCACAGAGTATCTTGGATATGCGTTTTCGAGAAAGTTCGGCTTTTAGGTTGTGTAATAATTGGGTCGGAGCAATGATATTACCCTACATATTTTCCCATTCAACCAATTGGGAAATACTTTACCCTACGTACTCTACTCATCACTTCGTTCCACTTCCTCGGAAATGTGAAATTCAGGAAGGTGGTCTTCTCTAAATTAGGCAGGGTATGCAGAAGATTCCCAAAGATATTTCCTTTTATCTCGAAGGTCTCCACGATTTGCGTCCCTGTTTTGTAGACCTGCATTCTCAAATTCATCGAGTAAGATCTCAGTATGATTAAGTACATAATTTACGATACATAAACACTCGGATTTATTCTCTCCACGAAGCTTGAAGATTACTCTAGAAGGACTCCGAGAGATTCATATGCTATCTCTCGAAACAAATTTATCGGGGTCTACGTATATATGCTCGCCATTGATATCTAACACATGTCCCTTCGAATTCAAAATAAGAATAATAGCGGACCTATTCCATTATTTAGATGCTCTCAACGCAGTACTATCCTAGCATCAGCTTACTTTAGCAGTAGAATGATGTGCCCCGGTACCTATAAACTAGATCAAACTAAATTTGGTTCAACTTGATGTTTACGCAATTTTTTTGTTTTTCAGGGTTTGAGCATTGTTGAATTTTTGTTTCTTTATACTCACTAGCACCCATGCCCACGAGAATGATGACCAGAGTGACCAAAAGGTTCTTGAGTTCAAGGCGTGAGTTGTGAGAATCCGATTATTACTGGGGATTCAAGTCACGAGTCTGATTTCTACCAGGATAAACCCAAAAAATGATGTCGTGGAAATAAAGTTTTGATAACGTAGTATATTATATCGCTACGAAACAAGGTTCACCCTACATATTTCGTCACGTGGTAAGCCCTTTTGAGAGAATGTCTGCTTACACGCCTCGGCAAGAAAAGCACCAAAAGAATCATTACTACTTTCTGGGGAAATGACTGGTATGTATGTATGTAAGGAAGGCCAGAAACTGCGGGCTGTACCACCTCGGGACTCGTTCCGGCTGTGGTCGAAAAAGTACACCTTTTATCATAGACCGTCGAAAAAGCAATAGATGCAGAAAAATAACCTCCATCCATGACTGCGCGTTAAAAATCGTTGACGCATGAAAATATCCCCAGACTAGAAAAAGAAAAGGAAAAAAGAAATCGTTACTGTTGGATATCTATGTACTTTCCCCCCCGGAATTACATGTACTGCTCCAGATGGGAAAAATATAGAGCAGAATAGGTACATATGTCGACAAGAGTAGGTATGTCTCGCAAGTGAACCGCATAACCGCGGCAGCATCCGTTGTCACTCGCCTGTCTCAAACGCACATGGGCGTCGTTGAACAGCACCTCATAAGTCGTCTTCATCCATCTAAAGATAGCGCCATGACAGCCTTGCATCCCCCCCCCCCCCCCCCCCTACTGTCTCCATACCATCAAGGAATGAAAAACGCCAACGCATGCACAGATCAACACATAAAACTCGTCCAGCCATTTGCTAGTGATAAGTAGCTCCTAGGTATCCTATTGTCTTCCCCTTAGTATGTACCACACCCCAATGACACCCCAATGACAACCAGCCATTTCCAATTCCTTAGCTTATCGCATAGAAACCCGTCCTCCAACCCAACAAGAGAAGTGACAGGAAAAAGGAAAAGAGTGTGAAAAATAGTGAAAGACAACGAAGAAGTGGTGGTGGGGCAAAAAGCCAACTGTTCACTCGGAAACCAAAGCCCGCTAAACAGATGGAAAAAAAATCGGAAAGCTGCAGAAGATATCAAAGGATATAAAAGCAAAAGAACCCACCCCTGTAACGAAGGGAGGGAGGGGGAGGACAAAAACTCCCACATACCCCCATGTCCGACGTTCATACGTATCCCACAAACCCCACATGCACAATGAAAAGGAAACACCCCCGCCTATCTCAAACACCATCGCATATACCATAAATCCCCACGGAAATTACTGCTTCCTCTCGATGGAACCCTGACAGAAACACCAAGAAAAAAGCAATATAGAATGTGGAGAAAGATGAATACACCCGCTGTACTCCAATTTCAGACTGTACCGCCAAAAAGATCACAGCCACAACTGGGTACATGTGTAAAACTGACCCAAGCCTCAACTCGTAATTCGTCACTAACAAGCCTGAAACCAATATCCGTAGATTGAATTGGTACTTACTCTGTACCGTGACATGTCTTCAAAGATGAAGCCATTTTGTAAAAGAAAAAAGGGACCTGAACAAAAAAGGCGAGAAATTACAACCTTTAAAATCGAAAGAAGAAAAAACAGAAAAGAAACCTTCCCTGAAGCAACGGTCGAAGATATAACGAATAAAGCAAGAAGAAGCCCCCATGAAACATCTCCAACGATCCAATTCCATGCTACCGAATTGCCCTCCAATGTCCCCAAAAGTCCGTAACAATGCTCAGAAAAGAAAGACATGGTAAAATAAAGGATATAGAAGATGACCCGAAAACGGGCGTATAAGCAAATCGCAACCGTACAAAAGAAGAGGGAATAACATAAAAAAAAACTCCAGGATCCTTTGTACACCAAGCAACAATCCTTTGCTGCTTGCAGAGCAGACGGCGTCCACATATTTTTTTGCCGTGAAATTTTGTTCAAAAATAGAAACTTCTCAGTTTTTCGTGAAACAAACCCAAAAGAAAACACACCATATCATCGACTCGCGGAAGTTACAACTAATGTAGGTTTATTCAAAATCATCACCACCTATTAATTTAGATTAGTAATTGCTTTACATTCACTAAATGCTTCAAAATAAATTACCTTCATCCATGGTGTCATTTCCATCAGTAATTTCCCGACCATTAATGTCAACGACGATCCTGCGTCCTCTCTTTTCTTCGGGAACCCCATCTCTAGCAGCACCAAAATCCAGCACCTGCCATATAGTTTTAGCCTGCGATCTCCAAGAAAATAAGATTTGGGTAGGAGGACTAACCTCGATATAAGTGACATCCTCCCTTTGCACAGCTGCAACACATCTTCGTTCATTGAACTTCACCTGCCAAACTCCACTCAGATCCGTCAAGAGATCTCTAATGAAGTCTCCGGTCTGCACATTCCACATTTTGACCGTCTTGTCAGAACCAGAAATAACCTTATGGCCATCATGCTGGAAACATGTGATGGCTCCAGTGTGGGCCGCAAGTGTCTGTTTGCACTGGCCGGTTTCCGGGTCCCAGATTCTCAGTGTTGTGTCTGCAGCAGCTGATACGAGCCTATCGTGGCTCAAGTCCAATAGACCGACGAGCTGAGTGTGTCCTTCAAGCGTGTAAATTGGCGATCCAGTATCAAGTGACCAAATTTTAACCAAGTTGTCCATGCTTCCACTAATACAGCGGTTGCGCTTATGATCCAGTACGACGCTATAA